ACTAGCTTGACTTACTAATGCATAAACAGTATTGAACGATTTTGAGAAAAAGATTAACTTACCTGTCTGAACTTGAACAATTAGGCTACACATCAGAAATTGCTGCTTGGTGGCTCGATTGATTTATTTTCAGAGTTGAGGAAACAGTCGTCGGTGAAATGTTTGGACCATACAAAACTTTGGGAAGTTGTGTCGGCGCATTTCCAGAGAAAATAATAAGTCAGCGCATTTCTTCAGAGGCTCGGATGAAGGAAATAAAAAATACTTTTGTGTTCAATTTGTACATCCGAACATTGATCAACTGCCATGCTTCGCTCGTTTGCAATCCATGATATCTCTCGAGGAATAACTCAAATGTCAAATGGTCCAAACATTTCACCGACGACTGTTTCCTCAACTCGATGAACATCTGAAAATAAATCAATCGAGCCACCAAGCAACAATTTCTGATGTGTAGCCTAATTCACCTTTTGCTAAGCCCCGCCCCCCTTAGTTACTGTTGCTACATCTGTCAAACTTCATCTGCGCTCTGCATGGCTTATGCTGTAACAGCTCATCCTGCTGAAATGTTATCAAACTTTTATAAAACAGCAAATAAAGTGTCCGATAGAAGTAGGCAAAAGGGGCTGATATGCGTTTGAAGGCTATATACAAGATGTAATTACAGGTGAAACGCAAGAAACAAACAATGCATCCAAAATAGAGGCAAAAGCATAACGTTACCGGTCACAGGCAAAAAAATAATCACCGCATATCCTACCAATCGAGACGGAGGCTGGGACTGACAATATCAGGGAGTAACACTGTTCATGCAAAGCTGGGTAGGTCTCTATTCACTTCTATAATCGTTATTACAAAGAAAACGGACTACACGAGTACTGTATAACGTTGTATTTATTAGCAGCGTGTGCTAGCGTATCAACAACCGGTATGAGAACCGAAATCATAACCTAAAACATTATAAAACAGTCTAACTAGTATAACTTCACACTCACAGTAAGGTTAGAAGTAAAAAAAGATGTGCTTGTTGATCTTTGAGGGGTTTAGCTGACTGAGGACGTCCATACAGTTTCCAAAGACGACACTTGTCAGGTTTTTACTTCGGTTTTGGGAAGGGAAAAAACGGACACCCCCCTCCAACCTCTCTGGGAAACGTGTATCTGTGTTACAAATGTACGAGGCACAACGTTTAACCATATTTTGGATAAAACTACGACGGTAATAGCCTGCCGAGACCAAAAATATGAGACGCCTGTGTTGAAAGTCAATGGAGCGCTTGTGAAAAAAGTGTCTGAGTCTGTGTGGGAGCTCGTTCTTGGCTGCGCTGTGATTGGTCGATCTACATTCTAGGGCGTGGCTTAGCCAAAGGTGAATTGTTCAAGTTTCTGCACGCCGATTGCTTTGGGCCGGGCCTAGTCAGGGCCGTTTTTTAGTCCCAGTCCATTCATGGGCAAAAAAGAAGGACATTTGTCATTTATAGCTCATTGTATTTTACAATTGCTGCTTACTTCAATATTGTGTCTGGTTGCTGAATCGTTTGCCGCAGCCTGCTGGTTTTTGTGTTTGTGAGCAGGGTGAACAAGTTATAATAACAGCTGTGTTGTTACTCGTCTAAATATACAGAGGGCACATCAATCACTTTAACTGCAGCTGCGAGCGATGCTAACAGGAGGCAGTAGTCATTAGCTGAAGTATGAACATAGTGACTTATTGCAATTTCGTTTTGTTCTGCTGAGAATTAGGACAATAATAGCCAATTAACGTTGGGTCTTCTGAGTCAGAAACTCCGTTCCTCATTTTACCAAGAAAGAGAAATTGTCTGGAAACCACAGAGAAGCTATTCTGTGAGATCAACCACCATTAGGCTTGTTTCACCATACATAAGTGGTGAGTATTATATTTTTTGCACTAAAATTAACAAGTATCGTAATTAATGAGTACCCTATTGGATATTGAAAGAGATAGTCCATCCAAAAATGTTCCAAACCTGTATGACTCATTTTACACAAATATGATTCATTTTGTTTTTAATTTATTTAGTCAACATACAGTAGAATACAATGTAATATTGGTGTAGTTGGCCATAACATCACAATAATCATCAGCTCATGGGGGCATCCCTTGGTCTGTTCTGTGTAAATTAATTACTTTTGGGATGTAAGTGTGATCCTCCTCATTTAAAAAAAAAAAAAATAATAATTTATTAATTAATAATCAATTTTGTAAAAATTAATGTAATCTCATTCGCCCACCCCCGGTCATCACTTTATAATTTAACCTAAAAAATAAAGGAAAGTTATCCCATTTATTACTGTAACATAGGAACTAAATTGTTTTACTAATTTTGGTTGAATAGCAGAAACATCAACAGGAGGTTAATTTAAAATTGAGTCGAAGTCACATGAGTAACATTAAGAACAGCTTAACAGTCTTGTTTGAGACAGCAGAAGGTGGTGTAATGATACTGATGCCTTGGGCAGACTGAGACCTTATCGATAGTCATTGATCTGCGATGAGGCTGATTAGATTAATGACATAATTAATATGAATAATGAGTTCCTTTCAAGGGAATTTGGACCATCTGAGTCTTTCAACATGCAGGTCATGTTTCTTCTGAGACCCTGACAAAGGGTCCACACACACTTAGGTCTATATATCTCTCATCTGGACCATGTGTAAAATCTAAAACTTCAGGCTCACAAAGAGCTCAATGTACATTCTCAACCTGACCATTTGTATAAAGAGCTCTTTGATCGGTTCATCGTCCAGGCCAACAGCAATATCTAACACAGCACCGTCCGCATATAAACTCTGTGTGGTCATTTTAACACCAAGATCCTTTAAAGCACAGTGAGCTGTGGTTGAAATACGTATATATGCCCTGTTGCTGTAAATTCAACACTTCGCTCTCAAAGAGGACAGAGAGAACAAAATAAAGAACGCAACAGAGACTGAAGGGGGCCGCAGGGTACCAGAGCCAAAACAAATTTCACAACGTTGAAAATAAACATACCTGTGCAGCGGTCCGAGATTTGATTTCTGGAAAGCACAGTGCGACTGAAGTTATTTTGCTTGTGGCTAGAGGGCCAAAATACAGATCAGGACTCAGACAAGAAGTCAAAATCCCTGTAATAACAGACACCTTTAGCACTGTGACGGATTCCTAGAGCTCTTGCCAGGGTGTTATTGTCAACATTTTGCCAAATATATTATGTTTCTCACTGAATCTACAGTGTCAGCGGCAGTATAGTGGGTGTGCAGGTCGAATATGCATGTGTATGAGTGTGTGAAAGAGAGAGAGCATGGTATGGTGTGCCAGTACACATGTCTGCGCAGATAAATTCAGGGATTAGTGTGTTAGAGATGCACAGACTGACTGACAATCTCTCCTCCCTTCAGTACCACTGTGAGACAACTGAGAACTCATTAACTCACTGCACTCACGGACCGAGAGTGAGAGAGAGAATTGAGACAAAAATTAACATGATGGCGTAGAAATAGAAAAGGCAAATATGGCGTATTAGCAGCAAGGCCGTGAGCGATGGAGGCAGAAAGTATGAGGGAGGTTGAGGCCAAAAACTGAAAAGGCAAACGGTGAACAGCAGAAGCTGGAGGAAGAGGAGGTGTGGAAGAGAAGGATGAAGAAAGGAGCGAAAGAGACAGAGAAAGAAGCTGTTGCCAGGGACAACAGCATAATAGAGAGCGATCCTCCTACACAACCTCTGCCTTATTTTACTCCTCCTCCACTGTGGATTGATTCTCTCTCCTTCCGTTTACCTGCCTCAAGTCATGTCTGCCGTGGACCTTGTCAGAGTCAACAATGCTTTATTGGCGTCATTGTTAAAGGGACAGCTCACCCAAAATATAACTCATCTTGTTGTAGACATGATGTTCTCTCTTTTGTTACCCACAGAACATGTTTGGCAGGATGATTGTGCTTCTCTTTTCCATTCAATTAAAAGTACTGGTGACTAGTGACAGTCAAGTTTTATAAAAAAAATAAAAATAAAATAAAAGCACTGTAAAGTATTATAAAATAAGTTTATTCTTCGATTCTTGGCATTGTTGTGTATTTTAGAGCTGTTCAAACAAAACTAAGAGACCTTGTGAAAAAGATGTACACTTTAGCAAACTTCTAGAAAGAGAATTTATTAAAGGAATGATATACTTTAAAAGAATATGTGAAGTGTGGACTGAATGTAATGACACTGAAATGCATGTTAATTGCAAATACATGAAAATACATTCATTTACACTAATATTAAAGGCAATTTGATGAATTTTAGCGTGTGTTTTGTATGTAATTTCATAATTGTTGTCTTTGAAATACGTGTTTAAAGTGGTTACGGTTAAATTATTAATTTTATTTCTGACATGTATTTCATAATGTCGGGTAAAGGATTTTCCTCTTTGTTCTAGAACATTTGATGGTTTGCATTGATTATCTTTCAAATGGTTACAAAAGTGTAATAATACATTTACTTGACATAATAAATTGTTATATTTTATTATTCTAACAGACTTTGATTTTATTTTCATTAGAATAATAAGGAATAGTCAAACATTCACGTAGACGTAATGATGCACAGATATCATTGAAAAACCTTTTCATTTATGGAGTCAGATGAAATAACGAGTTAATACAAGTTATAGTTAATAGTATTAATAGTTAATACATATTAATTTATTATTTTTAACAAAAATTTGTTAGTGATCAAACAATTGTTGGACCCCTGTTGAAGACCCTTAGTCTAGTTCAAAGTACAAAATAAAAGAGTGATAAAGTCTATGTTCAATTTCTCCGTTTAACTTCATACTCCCCATACTCTTTCATCCTTATGGCTTTGCCTGTCAACAGCTCCTTAATGTCAAGTCTGTCACCTTATTTAGATTCAGGCTAATTAAGAAAACCAAGTGGGTTTTGCAGCACTGCAAACAACATTTTTCAGAAGTTGCGCAAGCTCTTTAACTGTCTCTCTTTCTCCCATCATCTTTTATAGCTCAGAGCTCATCGTTTCCCAGCCCCTGTTCCCCGAGACAAGTGGATTTCAACCAAGTTTTAAATACTGCAGCATCAGGACCGCTTATACTTGACGTCTGCAGCCAGACCTGGCAAGGTGATCACACCTGATCTGCTGCACAAGAGGAAGACACTGCCACAGTCTTGTTTAACAGAAGATTAACTGTGTAGCAGAGAAAGCAGGTGAGTGCTAACTGGCATAGTCACACTATAATGGTACTGTTTTAGGCTCTTTTTTGTGTATAGATTGTTTAACAGGCTCCAGATAACCTTGTGAAATGGTGCATATGAAAAACTATGTACAAATTATCTGCAAAAGTATTTGTTCCATCCTTTTGCCCTTGTTTCAACAAGCGTCAGACCTGCTCAGGCTGACTGGCACTGTGGTTTGTGTTTTTCTAAATAACGATGGACCTGTCATGTCATTCCCACTCTCTTACACACATACACTCCATACACACTCAGTATTTAGAGAGATATCTACTCTCTTCTGTTTTTAAAATACAGGCACACAAGAAAGAAAAGTATTTTCATTTGACTTGGTCATCAGTATACAGTGGCTTTAAGAGTCCCACATTTGATTTCTGCTCTCTTTCAAGGGGTCATGAATTTTCAATATAATATTTTCATGAATTATTTGACATGTAAGAAGCTATATAAAATATCCTGTAAGTTTCAGAACTTAAAACTTCATTGTTAGTCCAAAAACAGCTTTAATTGAAACCAAGCTCAGAAAACGACTCATTTTGGATTTTGTCACATTATTACATCATTAGGGGTGTAACTATCGAACCGAACCGAAAAAACGCGATACAGAACACACGATTCGAATCGCGATACTCTCATTGCATACCGAACATGCTCCACCCCGCCCCCTGCTACCCCAGCCCCGCCTAGCCCGGCTCAATGGACCTCATGTGACCTTATGTGTACAGTAGTACACAACGAATTCAGTTTTGTAGCCTAAACATCATAGTGTGCTGAAAGATCACCTCTGCAGAAGAAGACGCCGACTTCTTTCCTAATTCATTACCTCTTAAGCTCCCACCCACTGATTCGTTCATGTCATCTAGTAGTAAATACGAGAGAGACGCAAACACAGGATTTCTCCAGCACCAAAGCGATAGAGATGCCTCTGAGGATTACAATAAGTTTTGAAGTGCAAAGTTGTGGAAAAACAGAGTCTTTAAATTGCCATCCTAATGAACAGGAAAGCATGGATGAACTTTATTTTTAACGAAGTTCCAGTCGGATTTGACGTATTCGGTGGATTCTTTTTTAAACTAGACACAGTTCGACAGGCTTTTCAGAGAGACTGAATATAAAAGATAATGCATTGCCGACTATATTGGATCTGACAGTAATGTGGCAACACAAAACTGTGAATAGTTGTGATTTGCTGTTCTTTCCTTTGCTTTGGTATGTATGGGGTTAATGCATTGGCTTATCGGAAGAAAGCATGTAGAGAACGCCACTTTTTTGTTGTTGTTTTAATCTAAGCCATTCACTCTAATCCTGAATAAAAGCTTCTGTTTTGTCATCAGTAAGACAACATGTTTCATTTTATTTTAAAACACAGCACTCCAAATGACAATGTAGGCCTATGTTTTTCTTTATCGAAACTTTATCGAAAAGGATGATAAACCAAAACCAAGACTAATAAAGCATATGTAATACTCATACATGTTTTATATTGTTGGCAAATGATAGGAGTGTAAATAGCCTATTGCAACTAAATTAGGATATTTTGTTGATGTAAAAATCGTAACATTATAAGTGGACCTCAGAGAACATTGTAAAAGAAAAGAAAGTTCATGACCTATTTAACGGTAAAATGAAATGAAATGACCTTGCTTGCTCCCTCGAATGGTCCTGCTCACTCATGCTTACGGCAGTCAGCTCAATAGCATTGTGAGGCCTTAATGAGTCTGGACCACTGGAGCTCACCTTTGACCCTATTTACCCCCTCAGCCCTAAATAAGACCATCATTATGTGCTCAAGTCCCCAAATCACGCACTGTGCTTTCTCATGTCTTTCTTAACCAATACTTGTATAAATATAATGTATATCTTTAACTTTTTTCCTCATTTAGGTTTATTCCATAATAAGTTGATGAAAAGTTTTCCAAAAGCTATAGTGCACCAAAATTTTGGCTACCGAAATCAGTGACCGAAACACGTTTAATTAGCGCTTCATCGTCGATGGCATGTTTTGACTGTGTTCTGTGTCTATTTTGTGCACACAGTGTGGATAAGCTACAACATTTCAGCTGTGTGGACACTATCTCTGGATTGACAATATTAATATATCGATTTTACTAGGTAATGATAAGGTTTCTTAAATGTAACTTCTTTTATTCTGTGCTGTTTTCTGTTGATGTGCAACTAAATTTCACTAAACATTTGTTGTGCACCTGCCATCAAATAATCACAAAAAAGCTTTATTACTTTTAAAGTCCCCCTGTAGCCAATAATTGATTGTAACTCTACACCCTTGCTTCATTTACGCTTTTGCAAGTTAGTCCTCATACAGGGCCGTCCACAAGTTTATGCATTGACAGTTCAAGCGATCAAGCACATGTCAAACGATCTTCTCATCTCCTCTTTACTACAGACAAACATGGCTGAACACCAGAAGAAATGTTGCCTTATGTGCACTTTAAATGTTTGTTTAATTCAGTTTGAGTTATTTGAATGTTTACTATTAAATAAGTTTGGATAATTCATTGATTTACTTACTATTTAGTTTTGGTTTTCTGCCAAGTGCATCCTGAATTTGGGCCCAGCATTTTCATTTCAGTGCATCCCTACAGAGAGCACAAGGTGATCACTGAAAGAGAGACAGAGAGTGAGGTTGTGTAGTTAGTGTGTAGATGGTGTGTGTTTAGAGAAACATGTGACCTTCCATGTTTTTTAAGGGGCTGTGAGGGCTCATCTGCTGATCTTCCCTCAGGCTGGATCACTGCAGGGGGAAAACTCATATTGCGTGAGGTGTCTCTCCTTGCATGTCACTTGAGAGGTGAATGTGTGTGTGTATGTATGTGTGAAATGGCTATTCTGTAATGACTGCTGTGGCACTCTGTTCACAGTAAAGGTCGGTCATGTAGAGCACATTAAGCCAGGACCTTTAGGGAAGGTATACAAACACACAGTGAGTGAGAATGTGTGTGTGTGTGTGGTTCTGTGTGTTATGCGAGTAGCGACTATACTGTTGAGAAGAACATAATGGCTGCCTCTCCACCCACAGCAATTAACACAGGAACTATGTTATTACTGCCTGACAACAATGCTTAAGTGTGCCGTTTCCATCCCTGCCCTGCCCGACTCTTCTCACAAGGACAAGAGCTATCATTACATCCCTCTATCCATCCCTCCCTATTGGAACACAGCCGGAGACAGGTTCCCGTCAGGGGAAATTCAGACAGCAAGCTTTATTTTCATATACCATTTAAAGTCTCTTATGCTCAAAAATACCTCATTTGATCAAAAATACAGTTAAACAGTTGTGAAATAATATTACAATTTAGAATAACTGTAGCAACACTGAAATTTCAGCATCATTACTCCAGCCTTCAGTGTCAAATGATCACTCTAATATGCTGATTTTCTGCTCAAGAAGTGTTTATTATTATCTATATTGAAGAATTTTTTGTGAAAACTATAACACTTTTTTCAAGATTCTTTGGTGAATAGAAAGTTCAGAAGAACAGCATTTATTTGATATATATATATATATATTTCAAATAAATGCTGTTATATTATTTGAAATATATATATATATATATATATATATATATATATATATTTAAATAAATGCTGTTCTTCTGAACTTTCTATTCACCAAAGAATCTTGAAAAAAGTGTTATAGTTTTCACAAAAAATTCTTCAATATAGATAATAATAAACACTTCTTGAGCAGAAAATCACAAAAAATTAGTAATAAAATAGTTCAGGCAGCAATAACATAGTTCCTGTGTTTATATATATATATATATATATATATATATATATATATATATGAAGAGTTCAGATGCAAAAGCCTTTAAGTGCAATTTGAAATTTTCTTCTAAAATGATCATTTTTATCAAGCTTGTATATTTAAGCTCAGTAATTTCACTTTAATGGCAATGAAGATTGATAGCTTGATAAAAATGGTAATTTTAGAAGAAAATTTCAAATGGCATTTAGAGGCTTTTGCATCTGAACTCTTCATATACATATATATATATATATATATATATATATATATATATATGCGTTTTGGTTGTAAAAAGGGTCTAAAACGTTTTAAGGTTGTCCACTTTCCACCACTTAGGAACCACATAGGAAGCCAGACAGGATTTAAGCTTTGTCGGCTGGAGACAACACAAGTTTGTCTGTTTTGCTCTGCCAAAGAAAATTAGCAGAAAGGAAGTTGTGTTTCATTCCTGAATGAATCAGTATATTTGAATGAATTGTTTGAAAAATGATTGACTAAATCACTTGATTTGTCTCTGAACGAATCAGTGTTTTTGAATGAATTTATTTAATGATTCACTGACTCAGTCATTAAGTGACAAGAGTCACTTGCATAATGATGTAACCTGCAGAAAAGTTCCCCTGTTGTTTGGATCAGAACTGACAGTTGTATAAAATACATTATAATAATAACTTGTATAGAGATAAGGTGGCCTGTGGTGTTGAAAAGAATAATTATTTAATTTAATTACTCAGAGGGCAGCACTATTTCAGCACAAGCAACAACCTATTAAACTGGTTAATGGTTGGTAAGTGGGGAAAAAAACAGGTTATTTGCTCTCAACTTAATCAATGGGGCAGAAGTTGAATGAAGTAAATCTGACCCTCTGTGTTTCTCTTCGATTTTGCTGTTTGGACAGCATGACTTTTTATTTATCCAAGAGGCTATATGCATGCGTGTAGATGAGTCATTTAGATGTGGATATGAGCAACATCTAAGATATTGTCTCTCAGTGGGGGTTAATGAGTGACACTGCGTATGGTGAAATGGTGTCTGCTAAATCATGTTATGTCTCTATCTGTGACCTGATCTGGTGTGCTCTATTATAGCAGAACAGAACATTATGGTGCACTTTGACCATCTCCAATATTTGTTTGATCCTTCTGCTCTACAGGATGTTCTCTGTAAAGTCTGATGTGTGTGTGTGTGTGTGTGTGTGTGTAAA